AACTATAGCAGCACAGACAAATTGATCTCCCCCTTTCATTTACATTCTCTGGACCTCAAACTAGACTTTGAACAAGGCTGCTTCTAAATGTGATAACAGGGAAACGTTATCCGCCGTGGTGGCTGTGAATGATTAAGCAGCTTGTGTAAACCACTCTCTCTCTATCTCTCTCATTTTTTTCTGTCCTGGCTCTTTTACGTCTTACATTAACCATTTCTGTTTTACAGTTATTTATGAGACTGTATTTACAAACCAATATGATCATATTTTCCCTCTGTTCTTCTTCTTCTTCTTCCTGCACTACACTGTACTCCGCCAGCCACCCCTCCTCTCTCTATCTCTCAGTATCAGTTGGTGATTAAGTATTGATATCAGTCTCAAGTGTCTCATATGATACTAGCCAAGCGACAGTACGCCCCCCCCCCCACACACACGTTGTGTTTCCATGTTTTATGACATTCCATAGGCGTAATGGTTTTTATACTGTACAAACTGTATGTGCTATTGCCCTACACCAGCCCTACCCCTAAACCTACCCCTTACAGGAAACTTTGTGCATTTTTACTTTCTCAAAAAAACTCATTCTGTATGATTTATAAGCTTGTTTCCTCATGGGGACCTCAAAAATGTCCCCACAAGGTCAAAATGTACTAGTATTACTATCCTTGTGGGGACATTTGGTCCCCCATAACGTGATAAATACCAGGTACACACACACACACACACGCGCCCGCATGTACATGTAACCCTAAAATTACATGTAAATGTGGAATTGTGAACAAATGACAGACAGTAAATAAGTCCTGCTAAAGGTTCTGAGTCAGATCCTTCTGTTTGTGTTTGCTACAAGCATGAGAGTACAGGTATAATTGTGTAGATTTACATTACACTTAATTTCTATTTGTAAATGCGATCAATAAATAATTCTGTGTATGAAGTCAGTTGCCTTTATGTCTACACAGGTGCTTCAGCAGAGTCACTACAGGTGTAGTTCATCAACTATTAGACATATTCCACATGCCTGACTTTAAACAAATAAAATAAAAAATGAAAATTCATAAAGTTATGTAAGTTCAGTTTGATTAAAGGTTAGTGTCAGTAAGGTTTTTTTGTTTTAAAGAGTTTAATACTTTATTCAGAAATGCATTAAATTGATTAAAAATGACAGTACATATTATTACAGAAATTCTATTTCAAATAAATGAAATAAATCAACATAATAATAAATGTTTCTTGAGCAGCAAATCAGCATATTAGAATGATTTCTGAAGGATCATGTGACACTGAAGACTGGAGTTATGATGCTGAAAATTCAGCTTTGATCACAGAAATAAATTAGATTTTAAAACATATTCAAATATATTATTTTAAATAGTAATAATACAATATTACTGTTTTACTGCATTTTCAATTAAATAAATGCAGCCTTAGTGAGCATAAGAGAGTTATTTAAACAAAAAATAATACAATTCAGCATTGCATCACTTGCTCATCAATGGACCCTCTGCAGTGAATGGGTGCCGTCAGAATGAGAGTCCAAACAGCTGATAAAAACATCACAATAATCCACAACTAATCCACTACAGTCTATCAATTAACATCTTGGCAAATGAAAAGCTGTGCTTTTGTCAGAAACAGATCCATTATTTGTGTGTTTTAAACCATTGCTTCTGGCCAAAATATCAGTACATAATCCATAATAACATTTCCTCCATTGAAAAAGTCCATCTCCTGTTTTCCTCTTACATCAAAATCCATCGTTTATAGCTATTTTGGCATGTGCTTGATCTGTGCATAATTCTATCCTGATTTAAACCAGACAACTAAATTATCACTTGAGAAAGTAGTGTTATGGAATTGGACTCATATTTTAGCTGTAAGCAACGGTTTAAAGTTAAAAAGTCTTAAAGATGGATTTTATTTCTTATGAACACGCAGCTTTTCACTTCACAAGACATTAATTGATGGACTAGAGTGGTGTGGATTATTGTGATGTTTTTATCAGCTGTTTGGACTCTCATTCTGACGGCACCCATTCACTGCAGAGCATCCATTGGTGAGCAAGTGATGCAATGCTACATTTCTCCAAATCAGAATCAGAAGAGCTTTATTACCAAGTATGTTTACACACACAAGGAATTTGACTTGACGACAGGAGCTTCCAGTGTAGAAGAAAGTACAAACATAGTGCAGACATACTTAATATTAAAAAAAAAATATATATATATATATATATATATATTTTTTTTTTTTTAAACATTCAATAATGTACTATATACAGAAATAGAAGTATAGGAAAAAATGGTTGTCAAATTGGTTCTGATAAAGAAACAAACTCATCTACATCTCAGATGGCCTGAGAGTGAGTACATTTTAAGCAAATTAAGGCTGAAAGATAATGGTAAATACATTTTTAAATGCATTTTTTTTGTGCTTCTTACACATAATACTAATGCTAACACTAATACAATAAGTGGTACACTATTCAATTTCAAATGAGTATTAAAACAATCTAATGCATTGAAGTATAAGGTTATGGAATGAGGGTCCTCCTTCCCAGACAAGATAACAACACTATACAGCAGTGAGGAAAGAAAAGGGAAGCCAAATATGTAAAGTGAACCATGACACTATTTATACTAACAAACAGGATATGAAAAACGGGTGAGCATAATAAAACATGGGTGAATTCCAAGTTGCATAATACTACAATGAAAAAAATATTTCCAAGATATTAAATGCATCCTTGCTAAATAAATATATTACTTAAATATATAAAATAAAAATACATAAAAAATCTTACCGACCCCAAACTTTTGAAAAGAAGTGTACATATACATGTATGAAATATTGAAAGATTTATAAGAACAATATAATAGAGAGAATGAGAAAAAGAGCAGGCTTGTGTTAGAAACAAATGTTTAAGTTCTCAATGACTCATTCTAAATCTTAAATACCACTTGGTACCCGACAGTCATGGCACTGCAATTCTGTCTGTCTGTCTCTCATTCTCTCTATCCCTCTCTGCATGTCAGACTGGTTTCTGTTCACTTCTCTCTTTCTTCTTTTTCTTCGTAGGGGCTGTTTAAAAAAAGAGATGTTTGTTTAACATGTTTGATGAAATTTGTGTTTGGATTTAGACCCAGAAAATGAATGGTTACAAGTGGACTTAATGGTTACAACGTGGTGTTATCATATGATGGGCAAATAGAGATTGCAATGCGGTGTTGGCGAAACAGTCCCAGGAAACCTTGAGCAACTTTGTATGTAACTGTCTGTAAATGACTGTTCCTATAGTTATATTGCAACCAAGTGAATGTCATTGCATGTAATTACATTTGGTGAAACTCTGTTAACCACAAAATCATAATGTGATGTTCAGCACAGGAAATATGTTTATGTCAAACACTTAACATTCTTACCCTAAAAAATATAAGCAGGTATTGCATAACTTTATAAGTACCTAACTGAACCTGACTAATCCTGCTAAACTAACTTTGGTAAAAGGCACAAAGGGTTTGGACCAATCAATGATGACTCTGAGTAATGGCATGCAAGGAAATTTAGATAAAAGACACAGGAACAAATGGTTAGGATTTTGTTGGTTAGCATTAGCCAGTTAGCCCCTGCTAGCAGATGCCATTCTGACGTAACTTCACCAATCAGAAGTAGCAATGTATGATGGAATTGTGTCATCTCATGTCTTCTTGACAATTGCGACTGAGATGAATGGAAATGCTATCAGTCTTTTGATATTATAGATCTCCCTGAACCTATCAAATACCACACCCTCTATTAAGTAAGCTACAAAGAAAGAACACTGGATAATCCAGTCTGGATTTATTTTACAGGTCAGGGAACTTCATTCTGAGTTAAAGACGATTTAATAATTTTTGTTTGTCTTCATAACTAAAAAGGCAAAACAAAGGTTGTACTTCCTGGGACATCTCAAGACGTTCATCATCGCATGTTTCCTGACATAATCCATAACTGTCTGGTACAGGGGTCAGTCGTGGGATCTGACTTTGGCTACGGTCTGCCCATTTGAATCAAGATTCAGGAAGAGGGCAGTCTAGATCATCAGCAACCCCATAACCATATTCAGCTGGTGGCTGAATCTGTTCATTTTAAATACATGGGGCACTTTTCATCTTTTTTTTTTCTTTTTCAGTCACTTTTTTGCCCCTTGTTTGTATGTCTAAAGCAGGGGTGTCCAAACTGGGTCCTGGAGGGCCGATGTCATGCAGAGTTTAGCTCCAACCCCAATTAGACACACCTGAAGCAGCTAATCAAGCTCTTACTAGGCATACTGAAAACTTCCTGGTAGGTGTGTTGAGGCAAGTTGGAGCTAAACTCTGCAGGACACCGGCCCTCCAGGACCAAGTTTGGGCAGCCCTGTTCTAAACGGTGTAACACCCACAGAAGCACTGCACCGAAACATGAGCCGCACCAACTGAAAAGAATCATCAATGATTCAAACACAATCCTCATGTTCTAATTCTCTCTCTCTCTCTCTCTCTCTTCCTCTCTCACTAACACCCATGCGCATAAACACAAAGGCGTCATTGTCCTGTACCCATCTTCATTTAAGAACTATGAACTTTTAGTGTAAAATAATTCTGTTTATTTCAAAAGTTTTCACTTTTATGCTTTGAAAACTTATTTTAGGGACTACATTAGTAGGCTGCTTTACTTAGGAACTCGTGAAAATCAAGTTTTAACAAGTATTGTGTACTGGTCCTTAACATTATCATAACAGAACGCTTAATTTTCATTATTATTAATATACATTATTTTTTTTAACTGTAGCCTGTAAACAACTATTAGGCACTCAACATAGCCTACTGTTAGCGAGTACTGTTTAGTTGACGTTAAATGTGGAATGATGTTTATTGTCTTCAGAAGCTGTGTCAGTGATCCCTGTGAGTCATATTTATAGCACAGCTCTGCCTAAATACAAGCGCGCGTGATGACGCACCCCGAATGCAAATACACCTGTATAGAAAGAGCAAACGACGCACCTGACGCACCTGACGCTTCCCGTGGGATTTGAGGGAAGGCCGAAGTCTTTCTTTTGTTCTAGCGTTTACACTGCTCGACCACTCCCTGCAGTGACTGTGTGAACTGAGGCTTCGCATATTCCGCCCTCCCTGGAGTTCTGACACACAACGCCCCATCTCATTGCCATTGGGAAAACCACCTCGCCTGTTGTGGCAAACGGGGCAGTTTTAACCGTCCAACACCATTTGTGGATTTATGTAAAAGTGTCAGAAGCTCAGGAGAGCGAGGGGACGTGAATTTCAGACTTTCGGACACCGATCTCCCGGGTTCACCTGTACAGGTAAGCGGCGACGGGCGGTGTTTCAGTTTAGAAACAGGTGTTACTCGCAACATTCAGTGAGTGCGGATAAATGAGCCGTCGCTATTTTTTCCAGGTAGAGTAGGCTACACTTAGGCGTGCCTTTTGGGTTCTGGTTTATTTTAAGGAGATGACTGACATTTAAAAGGCTCGCACTGCTGCATGTGACATGTGTTTAATCGAAACTGAGCTCGAGTTCATGATAGGGCTTTTCTATAATACAGTAGCCTATCATGATATGACAGAGTACCTGTCACATGATGATTTTAAATAGTTTCCTGAAGATTGAGGAACAGGTGAGCGCTTGGGACGTGATCTAAAGATTTACCTGCTCACTTTTACCCCCATTCATCAATATTTAACCGGCGAGCGATAGTTTAGCAGAGGGTATCTCGCCGTAAGTCTGACATTCAACTCCTGCTTTGTATAAGAAACTAAAATAAAGAGATATGTGACGGTGTGTTTTTATGCACTTAAATGCTGTTGTAAAGAATAACGTTTTTGTATAAGGGGTCAGTTTGTGGTTTCTAACTGACTGTAAACGGTGTGATGTAACACTCTTGTTGCATACACATACTTGTGAAATTCACAAAACTTCGGGTTATAGGTCTATTTAGTTCCTTTTTTGTGGGTTAATACAAAACGAAAAAAGGACTGCATTTTATGTAGGCTATACATGGGTCCAATGTGATTTAGAAATCTTTTAAAACTCTTATTTAAAACGTGTTTCTTAGAAAACACACACACACACGCGCGCGCGCGTATATATAATTAGCCTACATTAAAGATGCCAAATCATGTAACCAGTAAAAAGTGCAATTATATGTATTTTTATATTTAAATCGTTTTCTTAACGCTGTTCCATTTGCCTTGGAACAAAACCCTGTTTTTTTTTCATTAAGATGTAAAAAAAAAAACCTTAATGACCTTGACACAGCTATGAGGGTTTAAAGGGGTCTTCTCTGTTTTATGGCTACCTGCATGCATGGTTATGCTACACTCATTATGTATATAAATGTTTTTTCAAATATTTATAGTTTAATACTATAGTTAAGATATAAAACAAATGGTAATGCCAAAATATCAAAAATGATCAAAACATCAAATTTACATAAGCTAATTTGAAAAATTGATCATCGTTTCATTGTAGAGCATGTGTACATAACTTAATAGATCCAGGCCAAAAAATGAGCATGCTCAACCTGGGTGAATGCAAGCACGGTTGTGCTAATATTAATGCCGTGCACAGTTCAATTTTTCCTCAAGATCGATCACTAAAAATGTATACATCCTCCAGTCCTCCCTTTAGTGCTGGGTGAGTGTCCCTTTTAATGTAATGCAAAAAGAGCCGTCGCTATTTTTTCCAGGTAGAGTAGGCTACACTTAGGCGTGCCTTTTGGGTTCTGGTTTATTTTAAGGAGATGACTGACATTTAAAAGGCTCGCACTGCTGCATGTGACATGTGTTTAATCGAAACTGAGCTCGAGTTCATGATAGGGCTTTTCTATAATACAGTAGCCTATCATGATATGACAGAGTACCTGTCACATGATGATTTTAAATAGTTTCCTGAAGATTGAGGAACAGGTGAGCGCTTGGGACGTGATCTAAAGATTTACCTGCTCACTTTTACCCCCATTCATCAATATTTAACCGGCGAGCGATAGTTTAGCAGAGGGTATCTCGCCGTAAGTCTGACATTCAACTCCTGCTTTGTATAAGAAACTAAAATAAAGAGATATGTGACGGTGTGTTTTTATGTACTTAAATGTTGTTGTAAAGAATAACGTTTTTGTATAAGGGGTCAGTTTGTGGTTTCTAACTGACTGTAAACGGTGTGATGTAACACTCTTGTTGCATACACATACTTGTGAAATTCACAAAACTTCGGGTTATAGGTCTATTTAGTTCCTTTTTTGTGGGTTAATACAAAACGAAAAAAGGACTGCATTTTATGTAGGCTATACATGGGTCCAATGTGATTTAGAAATCTTTTAAAACTCTTATTTAAACCGTGTTTCTTAGAAAACACACACACACACGCGCGCGCGCGTATATATAATTAGCCTACATTAAAGATGCCAAATCATGTAACCAGTAAAAAGTGCAATTATATGTATTTTTATATTTAAATAGTTTTCTTAACGCTGTTCCATTTGCCTTGGAACAAAACCCTGTTTTTTTTCATTAAGATGTAAAAAAAAAAACCTTAATGACCTTGACACAGCTATGAGGGCATAAACGCAGACCACTCAGGGTCCTGTCTGCCTTAGCGGCAATGTGGAGACATAATTTCTGAACAGAATAAAAAGTACACTTTCCCTTTACCTTTTTGTTCTTTATGTGCATCTTTGTCTTTCTCCTTTCACACATTGACATACACCTGCTTATTGGATCCCCAGGCTCATGACCTGCTGTAGGTTAAGTGCTTTAATTATGGTGTGAGACTTAAAGATGACAGACGAGAACACCAAAGCCTTAGGGATTGTTTAAAACATGCTATTAAACTCTAGGGCTGCTAAGGCATGCAGGTGTTTCCTGGGCACTAGAGCTAAATTGGTCATTGTTATTGATTCATTGTATTTTTAAGGCTCTTACAACTATACATTTTTAATTTACATGTAATTAGAATAGTCTTATGACTTAGCATGAAATGTTAAAAGAGAGATTTGATGATTGAAACTTCAGAAGCAAAAATGAAAAAAAGATTTGATAAGTTTGAGTCACTTCCATGAATCAGTTCAAACCATCTCTCAAAGATTAATTTGTGTCATCATTCGAAAATGTTCATGTTAGTTCCTGTGTGACATTTTTCATATATTAAACATATTCTGCAGTTTAAAAGTTTGGCGGGAGTAAGTTTAAAAAAAAAAAAGTTTTTGAAAGAGTTCTTTCAATGGCTGAATTTATTTAACACACTCATGATACATGAATTTATTTAATACAGCGAAAACGGTACTATTGTGAAATATTATTACAATTTAAAACCGTTTTCTATTTGAATATATTTTGAGATATAATTTATTCCTGTGATGGCAAACCTGACATTTCAGCATCATTACTCCAGTCTTCATTTCATTCAGAAATCATTCTAAAATGTGGAATTTCAAGAGAACAGCATTTATTCGAAATATAAGTTTTTGGAACAATTGAATAATCTTTAATGTCACTTTTGATCTATTTACTTGTCCTTGCTGAATAGAAGCATTAATTCTTTCAACAACAACAAAAAATCTAACTGACCCCAAACGGTAATGTATATGTAGGTAAATATTGTTGTTCATTATTGTATTTTGTTAAATTGCTACATATACATTAAAATTCTGAAATATAATTCTTCCTTTTGTTCAGCTGGTTGAAAAGGATGTGGGAAAACTTGCCTTGATTATTTTAACAAGGCCTAAAGATCATATCTGGAAAAATAAATAGGAATTGGGCACTGTGTAAACAACCCATAAACGTTTCAGTATAGTCGGGAGCATGATGTGTGTAAAGGTAAAGTGACTTGATTGTGTGTGTGTAAGTTTATGTTTGCAGAATGAGCAGTGAACTTTGCTCATTATATTAAAGGAAACAATCCACAGTATCATAGGCCCACACATACAACCTCAGTTATGACGCACATTTTCTCAGACACACAGAGAACACAGTGTGTGTCTTGAACCGGCGGGTTGAATCAGTCACTGATTCTGAATGCTATCCCTTTGTATTTGAGCTGAAATGCTCTGTAACTACACCCAAAATTAATTATTTAGATGTAGAATATTTGCACTTTTATGGCTATGTAAAGGGTGCTATGAAGCTGTGATTCAGGTGAATTGTCAGAGCTCAAAAAATAACAAACGCAGTAAAATTAGTAACAATCATTAACAGCAACAGTTAATAACAACTATTTTTCCAGCACTTCAGGTTTAGCTCATGCAATAGTACTTAATATCAGTCAGAGGTTGCTAATTTGGTCAATTCATTATGTAGCTAAAAAAAACTCTTGGTCATTCTGAGGCTATGTTAACAGGTAAAACAAAAAGCTAACACTACTGTTCCCTTTTGATTGGTCTCTCCCGTTGCGTTAACACACTATGGGGAAACTCCTGTTTACTCTGATACTGAAGCCTGATTTGATCACGTTCGTGTAGCTGCACGAACTGATGGTGCTTCAACCCGCCAAAAGGGGTGGAGCAGACTGATATGCAAGTCGGGTCTGAGTGGCATTTCGTCAGAATTTTCTCCTTTAGCGACGAAGATCATCTCCCTGCTGACTGCAAGCTGGAAGCCGAAGAGAAGAAAGAAGCTCAACCTCCTGCTCACCGCCATGAAAACAATCCACCGGCAGCAGAAGAAGCCGGACACCTTGCCCTGCGGCCATTGGCTTTTAAAAGAGCATATTTCAGAACAAATTTCCACTGCGACATTGTTGGAAATGTCGCACCACGAATGTGGCTTGTGCAGGGGTGCAGATGGGCATGGTGAGTGTGTCGCCTGTCTGGGCAGTGCCCACACAGAGGCTGCACTCACTGAGATGGAATGTTCTCACTGCGAGAACAGAAGTCTTGCCCTTCTCCGCTCGCGGACCCCTAGGAGGAAGAAACAGCGGCGCAGCAGGGCTCAAACACTGGGCTCGAGTGAAATCACGCCGGCACAGGTCCCGCGTGCTTCACTCTCCCCTCAATGCCTCAATTCACCCGTGTTCTTCACACGTGAGGATCAACGCCCCTCGTCAGCTGCGAGCGGCATGATTTCCTTCGGTGGATCTGAGGAGGAAGCTGTCATGGATGACTCTGTCATTGACAGCTTCAGATGCGTAAGCGTGGGTGTGTTCTGGCGAAGACCCCGACACCCTTACTCCGATGCAGACAACATGGCCCAGTGTGAACAGTGAGATGATCCGCATTCTAACCAAGACTGTGGAGGATCTCAGCCTGGCTTGGTCGGCTCCAGAAGAGTCTGCCCACGGCCTCCTTGATGAGTGGTACCTGAAAGGGCGCCGTCAACAATCCTCCCACCAGCGGCCTGTCCCGTTCCTTTCGACAGTTCATGAGGAGCTCACCAGGACGTGGCACACCCCCTACACGGTACATGTTAATTCTTCCAATTCTGTCGCTCTCACCATTGTTGACGGCGCTGAAGAACGAGGTTATAGCAAGCTCCCCCCTCTGGAAGAGGTGGTCGCTGTGCATCTGTGCCCTCTATCGGCCTTGGGGTTAAAAGTTCATGCAGCGCATCCATCTAAGCCCTGCAGGACAACCTCAGCCCTAGAGAACAGGGCTTATTCAGCGGCTGGCCAGGTTGGCACAGCACTTTATATGATGGCGGTGCTCCAGGCCAAGCTTCTCCACACCATGGATAAGTCTGGTCAGAGTTCTGACGCCTTCAGAAAGCTGCACTCAGCCTCACACTTCTAAGGCCACTGCGCAGGCTATCGGCAAGGCCATGGCCAACTTGGTTGACCTTGGTTGACCAACTTGGTTGACCCTCAACCTTTTGGTTGAATCTAACCGAGATTGGGTTTGCCTAGCGGTTTACAGCAGCACAGAAGTCATCGCAGGCAATGTATAACTTTGCCCCTGATTCAGGTGAATTGTCAGAGCTCAAAAAATAACAAACGCAGTAAAATTAGTAACAATCATTAACAGCAACAGTTAATAACAACTATTTTTCCAGCACTTCAGGTTTAGCTCATGCAATAGTACTTAATATCAGTCAGAGGTTGCTAATTTGGTCAATTCATTATGTAGCTAAAAAAAACTCTTGGTCATTCTGAGGCTATGTTAACAGGTAAAACAAAAAGCTAACACTACTGTTCCCTTTTGATTGGTCTCTCCCGTTGCGTTAACACACTATGGGGAAACTCCTGTTTACTCTGATACTGAAGCCTGATTTGATCACGTTCGTGTAGCTGCACGAACTGATGGTGCTTCAACCCGCCAAAAGGGGTGGAGCAGACTGATATGCAAGTCGGGTCTGAGTGGCATTTCGTCAGAATTTTCTCCTTTAGCGACGAAGATCATCTCCCTGCTGACTGCAAGCTGGAAGCCGAAGAGAAGAAAGAAGCTCAACCTCCTGCTCACCGCCATGAAAACAATCCACCGGCAGCAGAAGAAGCCGGACACCTTGCCCTGCGGCCATTGGCTTTTAAAAGAGCATATTTCAGAACAAATTTCCACTGCGACATTGTTGGAAATGTCGCACCACGAATGTGGCTTGTGCAGGGGTGCAGATGGGCATGGTGAGTGTGTCGCCTGTCTGGGCAGTGCCCACACAGAGGCTGCACTCACTGAGATGGAATGTTCTCACTGCGAGAACAGAAGTCTTGCCCTTCTCCGCTCGCGGACCCCTAGGAGGAAGAAACAGCGGCGCAGCAGGGCTCAAACACTGGGCTCGAGTGAAATCACGCCGGCACAGGTCCCGCGTGCTTCACTCTCCCCTCAATGCCTCAATTCACCCGTGTTCTTCACACGTGAGGATCAACGCCCCTCGTCAGCTGCGAGCGGCATGATTTCCTTCGGTGGATCTGAGGAGGAAGCTGTCATGGATGACTCTGTCATTGACAGCTTCAGATGCGTAAGCGTGGGTGTGTTCTGGCGAAGACCCCGACACCCTTACTCCGATGCAGACAACATGGCCCAGTGTGAACAGTGAGATGATCCGCATTCTAACCAAGACTGTGGAGGATCTCAGCCTGGCTTGGTCGGCTCCAGAAGAGTCTGCCCACGGCCTCCTTGATGAGTGGTACCTGAAAGGGCGCCGTCAACAATCCTCCCACCAGCGGCCTGTCCCGTTCCTTTCGACAGTTCATGAGGAGCTCACCAGGACGTGGCACACCCCCTACACGGTACATGTTAATTCTTCCAATTCTGTCGCTCTCACCATTGTTGACGGCGCTGAAGAACGAGGATATAGCAAGCTCCCCCCTCTGGAAGAGGTGGTCGCTGTGCATCTGTGCCCTCTATCGGCCTTGGGGTTAAAAGTTCATGCAGCGCATCCATCTAAGCCCTGCAGGACAACCTCAGCCCTAGAGAACAGGGCTTATTCAGCGGCTGGCCAGGTTGGCACAGCACTTTATATGATGGCGGTGCTCCAGGCCAAGCTTCTCCACACCATGGATAAGTCTGGTCAGAGTTCTGACGCCTTCAGAAAGTTGCACTCAGCCTCACACTTCTAAGGCCACTGCGCAGGCTATCGGCAAGGCCATGGCCAACTTGGTTGACCAACTTGGTTGACCAACTTGGTTGACCCTCAACCTTTTGGTTGAATCTAACCGAGATTGGGTTTGCCTAGCGGTTTACAGCAGCACAGAAGTCATCGCAGGCAATGTATAACTTTGCCCCCAATTCAGAAGGTGAGCAGGGTCCTAATCCACTCTGCCCTGTTCGGGCCCTTAGAGTGTATGTTGAATGCTCTGTCACAGTTTGCCTCTCAGAGCAGCTCTTTGTATGCTTCGGAGGCCACTCAAAAGGGCTTCCAATCTCGCGATAGTCAATGCTATAGTCCTGTTATGCTTTCGCGGGCTTACAGTGTCCTATAGGAGTGAGGGCCCACTCCACCAGAGGGATGGCCTCCTCCTGGGTTTGGTCTAGCAGAATTTCTGTCTGTGATATCTGTGTGGCCGCCAGCTGGTCATCGCCGTCTACCTTCACCAGTTTTTATAACTTGGACGTCCCTGCCCTGCTGGCACGGATTTTGTCAGCTTAATATACCTAACCCCCTTTGTAAGTAGGAAAGGTCATGTTATGTAATCCTCAGCCTAGCGGCTTGGGTCTCATTATTAGCTCATGCTTACAGGAGCCCTCAATATGGGCGCTCCGGGGTTGGGTTCGCAGAGCGGCTTTGTTCTGCACTTGCTTATAGCACGGTGCGATTGGATTTGTTCCCCATTGAGTGTTAACGCAATGGGAGAGACCGTTCGAAAGGGAACTCTCCGGTTACTTTCGTATCCTCGGTTCCCTGAGATAAGGCAACGAGCGTTTCATAGGCTGCCGTGCTATAAGGCTGTAGGTGAGTTGACGACTGTCACTTCAGTCGAAAGATTGTGATGAAATGGTATTCACAGGCGACTTATATTGCAGTCGGCTTTACCCCTTTTGGCGGGTTGAAGCGCCTTTGGTTTGTACAGCTACACGAACGTGATCAAATCAGGCTACAGTATCAGAGTAAACAGGAGTTTCCCCATAGCGTGTTAATGCAACGCTCATGTCCTTATCTCAGGGAACCGATTTTACATAAGTAACCGGAGCATTACATCCCTGGACGTATTGTAGGTGATTGGGAGGGAAGGTAACAACTACCGTTAATTCCATTTATTGTTTTGTGATTGAATTAATGGTTGAATTAACAGAAGACCACAATGGATTTTCAGTTTGGGGATAGGTTTGTTTAGGATTCCTAATATTGTAACAGGCCCTTAGTTATGCTTTCATGGATGCTAAAATCCTTACACTCAAGTATTGATTTGTGTAGTTGCTCAGTACAAGGGTCAATGATAGATAGAAGTATCTCTAATCATTTGTTGTCTTTCTTTCTGCAGTCATGAAGGCTTTTTTCCTGCTTGCCACATTGCTGTGGTGTTTAACAGCGAGTTTCTCCTGGGCAGCTAAGATTGTGGTGGTTCCTCCAATTATGTTTGAGAGCCACCTTTATATTTTTAAGACCCTGGCCTCTGCTCTCCATGCTGAGGGCCACGACACAGTCTTCCTGGTCTCCGAAGGTCGCGAGGTCCCACCTTCCAACCATTATCGTCTCCAGCGCTACCCTGGAATCTTCAACAGCACCTCAGCCGATGACTTCCTCCAATCAAAAGTTCACAACATTTTCTCAGGGCGTCTCACAGCACTGGAGCTTTTCGACATCCTGGACCATTATTCTCAAAACTGTGATGCCGTTGTTGGGAGTGCTTCTGTCATGGAGCAGCTAAAACGTGAACAGTTTGACCTCCTGCTCGTTGATCCTAATGAAATGTGTGGATTTGTCATAGCTCACATCCTGGGTGTCCAGTACGCAGTATTCAGCACAGGACTGTGGTACCCTGCGGAAGTTGGGGCGCCAGCACCCCTGTCTTACGTCCCAGAATTTAACTCTCTATTAACAGACCGTATGTCATTGTTCCAACGGGTAGCTAACACCGCAGTGTACCTGGTTTCCAGATTTGGTGTCCAGTTCCTGGTTCTGCCCAAGTATGATCGCATCATGAGGAAATACAACATCCAGCCATCTGTGTCCATGCATGATCTAGTTCAGAATAGTCGACTCTGGATGCTGTGTACTGACTTGGCGCTCGAGTTCCCACGACCCACTCTGCCACATGTTGTCTATGTAGGTGGCATCCTCACCAAACCCCCCAGCCCCTTGCCACAGGTAAGAAAAAAGTGCTATTATATTTAAAACATTCTCTAAACATTGTTACTTTTGGCAGTTTTTTGTGGTATCACTTTCAGGTATGCACAAGATAATGCTACGATGGCTCATTAGTGCACAACATAATTTAAAAAGCAAGTATAACTTTACAGTGGAATCAAGCTTCGGAAACGAACATATGGAAATGCTCTTGCGCATTAGTGTACTTAACCAACTACTATCACAATGCTAAATTCAACTATTTACTCATTAGTTACTTGTTGATGTGTAAACCTCCCCTTTAAATAACGTGACGCTTCCTTAAAAGGAGAGTTAGCCCAAAAATTTAAATTACCCCATGATTTCCTCAACTTCAAGCCATCCTAGGTGTATATGACTTTCTTCTGTCAGAAGAATACAGTCAGAGTTATATTAAAAAATGTCCTGGCCTTTCCAAGCTTTATAATTGCAGTGAATGGTGGTCGAGATTTTGAAGCCCAAAAAAGTCCATCCATCCATCATAAAAAGTGCTCCACACGGCTCTGGGGGTTTAAATCACGCGGTTACGAGAGAGTGGCGTTCCAGTGGATGACATAGGACGTAGGCGTAGCATAAGCTCCGGTGAGAATATGCTAGTCTTGCGAGAACCAAGTTTTGTTTACAGCAAAGGAAAACCAGTCCAGTCAGAAAACCAGTCAGAAAACCATCCTCTGGCAGCTAAAACGTGAACAGTTTGACCTCCTGCTCGTTGATCCTAATGAAATGTGTGGATTTGTCATAGCTCACATCCTGGGTGTCCAGTACGCAGTATTCAGCACAGGACTGTGGTACCCTGCGGAAGTTGGGGCGCCAGCACCCCTGTCTTACGTCCCAGAATTTAACTCTCTATTAACAGACCGTATGTCATTGTTCCAACGGGTAGCTAACACCGCAGTGTACCTGGTTTCCAGATTTGGTGTCCAGTTCCTGGTTCTGCCCAAGTATGATCGCATCATGAGGAAATACAACATCCAGCCATCTGTGTCCATGCATGATCTAGTTCAGAATAGTCGACTCTGGATGCTGTGTACTGACTTGGCGCTCGAGTTCCCACGACCCACTCTGCCACATGTTGTCTATGTAGGTGGCATCCTCACCAAACCCCCCAGCCCCTTGCCACAGGTAAGAAAAAAGTGCTATTATATTTAAAACATTCTCTAAACATTGTTACTTTTGGCAGTTTTTTGTGGTATCACTTTCAGGTATGCACAAGATAATGCTACGATGGCTCATTAGTGCACAACATAATTTAAAAAGCAAGTATAACTTTACAGTGGAATCAAGCTTCGGAAACGAACATATGGAAATGCTCTTGCGCATTAGTGTACTTAACCAACTACTATCACAATGCTAAATTCAACTATTTACTCATTAGTTACTTGTTGATGTGTAAACCTCCCCTTTAAATAACGTGACGCTTCCTTAAAAGGAGAGTTAGCCCAAAAATTTAAATTACCCCATGATTTCCTCAACTTCAAGCCATCCTAGGTGTATATGACTTTCTTCTGTCAGAAGAATACAGTCAGAGTTATATTAAAAAATGTCCTGGCCTTTCCAAGCTTTATAATTGCAGTGAATGGTGGTCGAGATTTTGAAGCCCAAAAAAGTCCATCCATCCATCATAAAAAGTGCTCCACACGGCTCTGGGGGTTTAAATCACGCGGTTACGAGAGAGTGGCGTTCCAGTGGATGACATAGGACGTAGGCGTAGCATAAGCTCCGGTGAGAATATGCTAGTCTTGCGAGAACCAAGTTTTGTTTACAGCAAAGGAAAACCAGTCCAGTCAGAAAACCAGTCAGAAAACCATCCTCTGACATTTTTCTTTACAAATCCTCATTTTGTACTTCTAATTCTTGACCAGTGTTTTGTTTTGCTCACTCCTCTGTGCTTCCATGTTCACTTCTCACCGGAGCTTACACTACACCTATGTCCTACGTCTTCCGCTGGAATGCCACTCTCTCGTGAATGCATGTATTACAGTTAGCCGGAGGCAAGAGATTACTGTTTATGAAGTTTTAAATATGGATATTTTTGTTACACAAACACATCGCTTCGCATGAGAAGGCTGTTATTAACCCCCCGGAGCAGTGTGGGGCACTTTTTTATGGTGGATGGATGCACTTTTTGGGCTTCAAAATCTTGATGCTTCTCAGCCACCATTGAGAGTGTGTTAAAGCTAACATTCAGGCTGTATATGGGAAGTAATGGTCTAATGAAATCCAAATTTTGAACCGTTTTGAATGTACCATTCTTTTTATGAACACATGAGCTGTGTTAGCCTAGTGTTAGGTTTAGCCCACCCTCTGTGGTGGCTGAGAAAGACGAGTTTTGTTGTGGCTGGATTCCGTTGGGTTGTGGCTTAATGTTGTAAAATTATGTTGTGTTTTTTACATTTTGTTGTGCTATGGACTACTTGGCCACGGTAGTGTTCACTGTCAGAGAAAATGTGCAAAAATGGTACCTTTTATGGGTACAACGACTTGTCACAGGGGCAATAACCTTAAAGGGACATTTGTACATTTAGATTACCTTTGCCATTGTCTAACACTCATTTAAAGTTAATCTTTGAAAACACTGTTAATTTAATAAAACCGTAAAATGTAATATTTATCAAATATAAAAATAGCCATTTTACATACTGTACATTATAATTTGATGTCTAAATTTAACATTTAAAATAAATGATTTCAGTTTTTAGTGTTTAGACAAAGTAGTACAGAATGTTGTTGTCTCCCATTTGTCCATAGCATGTAAATAATTATCAGCGTATCTTTTCATTGCCTGCTAGATCATGTTCTAAATGGAAAGCTTATGAGCTGTATATTTGGATCAGTTTAAACGACAACCTTTTTTTTGTTGTTGTTGTTTGTTTGCTCCGCAATCCTCTGTTGAGACTACAGTTACAATTTCTATTCCAAAGTTCCCTTGTTCTTTCAGTAAATGCATTGTGTGCACATGCAGTGCTTTTGATGCTTGAGTTCATTAATGGCAAGAAAATTACATCATGTGCTGATATGGGGATCGATTGACACAGGAACCTCATTTTCACTTGGCCTCATACAAAATGGCCAACCTCAATAATCCCACTCCCTCAAACAAGTGACCTAGGTCACCTTTCCAGTTTAAAAATCATTAGGCCGGGTGTGGTGACAAGTGGCTATATAAACATTAAGAGAATATCCAGTGTATTTGAGTCATTATTATCTCTGTGTTAGGCTCTTTTAACAGCTCAATAATATGAAGTCTTGATTTTGCACCAGGGTGTTATGCTCACAAAGGCTGCTCTTATCAATCCGGGTGATTGTGCAGAGCTGTCCACTGAATAGGAGTGGGGGTTCTGAACCTAAGCTTGCACTTTTGGAATACCAAGGGCCCAAATGGCCTCATTGTATGCTGTGGAGCCATAATGCAAATCGTGTGTTTGTCAGTGCAGGGTGTGTGAGTGTGTGTTTATGTGTGTAAATGTGCCAATTGTCGGGTGTGTATGAAGGACACTGAGACCAGTGTGAGGAGCGGACAGTCAGTGCCAGGCCAATGCAGGCTGTTCAGCTGCAGCTGGACTCCCTCAAACAGCGAAAAAGCAGGTCTTAGACAAAAACCTGCTCAATCTGAAGCTATGCTAACTGCTAACACAAAAGGCTAAAGGCTCTAAGTCTAATTAGCACCATTCATTTTTTTGTGTGCTAACAATTGCACTACAGTGCTAACAATGCACTAAATGCTAACACAAAGCCATACTCATCTTAGAATTTTATTTGACATTTTTTTGAATATGTAAGCCAGTGGTTCCCAAACCTGTCCTGGAGGACCCCCTGCCCTACACATTTTGTATGTCTCCCTTATTACTGATGTAAGCAATGTTATAATATAACAATCAAAAGCTAAATCTAAAAAATATGAACCAATGATTTAAAACTAATTAAAAAGTTAAAATGTCAAGCTCATGTTTTTGGTTTAGCACTTATTACTTGTATTACGGTATAATAATTTAGGTTCATAATTTGAGCTGTAAATTTGTCTAAATAACCCTTTTTTGTAGGAATGCTTTTCTAGGTGGATGAACTTCTGGTTATGTGTTGCCAATGTTTACTCCATGTAAACAGTTTTTTACAGATAGTATCATTATGTCCCTTTTCTGGTAATTTGCACATATTGTGTGAGAGTTACTGGGTTACCGACATTGTCGTCATTAGGTCCTCAAAGTTAAAAGACTGAAAACATCTGTACACAATCTCAGTAAATATTCATATGTAATATTTGAATTGTATGGCTATAATTAGATATAAAAATTGCTATGGCTATAATAATAAAACTGTGTGTTTGTTGCTGTGTATGTAAATAAAAATATACTGTAGTCTTCATAGGTTATTCAAGCTTTTAGTTTGTAAAATTTATTTAAATATTATTCCAAAGTTAAACCAAAAATCATCATCATGCGTCATTACTATCATAACTGAATGAGCAAGATGAATAAGCATTCATCAGATTTTTTATTTACCAGAAGTTGGAGAAGTGTTGAATGTGATGACAGAATATTTTCATACACTCAAATGACTTGCTGTTGCTTCATCATAGAATTATCTGATCAAAATAACTAAATATATTTGGCTGTCACAACTGTCCCAGAGCAGTCTAGTTCATTTTCCCATTTTGGAGTTTAATAGTAGTCATACAGTTTCTCCTTTTATATTTAACTTTGTGTTATTGTTCTGCTTTAGGTGGCTTATTAAAGCTAAGGTTATCTTTTAATACGAAATCCAGCCAAGAGCAATGAAGGCTTTTCTTTTTCTTGTCAGTATTTTTGTTCGGTTAATATTATGTGATTTTTGAATGCGCATATTAACTACACGTGTACAGTATGTAATCTAAGTAATCTTCCTTTTTGAATTACCCCAATATTGGTAATTAAAGCAGGATAAAGGGATTCTGCGCTCTATATGCTCCAGATTGCTCTCCATGGATGTACCAAGGTTTAATACATAAAAAAAAAAAAATCAACCCACACAACCTGAGGTTTTGTCCAGTCTGGCCCTTGATCTAAAATGTGTTTGACACACCTGGTCAAAGTCTAATTTACACAGCTCTAAAAAAATCCAGCCAAGAGCAATGAAGGCTTTTCTTTTTCTTGTCAGTATTTTTGTTCGGTTAATATTATGCAATTTTTGAATGCGCATATTAACTACACGTGTACAGTATGTAATCTAAGTAATCTTCCTTTTTGAATTACCCCAATATTGGTAATTAAAGCAGGATAAAGGGATTCTGCGCTCTATATGCTCCAGATTGCTCTCCATGGATGTACCAAGGTTTAATACATTAAAAAAAAAAAATCAACCCACACAACCTGAGGTTTTGTCCAGTCTGGCCCTTGATCTAAAATGTGTTTGACACACCTGGTCAAAGTCTAATTTACACAGCTCTAAAAATAGACACTTGTACATTTGTACATTACATTTATTTAATTTCCCATTGTGGTGGCATAGCACTTACCACTGAAAATGGCATATGGTTGACATAATAGGTAAAAGGTTTTCGAGAAATCTTGATCATGATTTCTTTTCAGGTTGAGGGATTTCTAAACATGCAGTGTGTCTCTGTCAAAGGTAAAGTAGCTTGAGAAATGTCCACACCTTAAAACCATTTAATATTATGAAACGCATGTTTTCACTTGTTTGGAAATTAAAAGATGTATGTAATGTCCCTTTAAGTCAAACTATGTTGCAATGTGCTGGTGAACACTGATACTCCGATAATAAGTTGCATTCTTCAGCCATTTTATTGCATGCTTACAAAAGCACGGTCTCATAAATCAAGTGTTTAACAAACTTTCTGTTCTCTTCTGTTCAAAGTGCTTACTATCAGATGGTAATACTTTGATGCGTACTATGGTACTGAATAATTACCAGATTCATATACAGTGGTATTTATGTGCAGCAGTTATTTTCTGGAGATATTTCTAGTCCCTTTTTACTTTTAAATTGATGTATTCAAATGAAATCATATTATAATCAGACAGAGCCATTTTATTTAGATGCTAATTTTGATTTCCATATAACGTTGAATTGCTTTGTCTTGTGAATATAGTCAGCACAAATTTCATAGATTGTTGAACTGTGTATTTGATCTGTGTGTGTGTACAGGAGTTTGAAGCCTGGGTGAAGGATACAGATGAACATGGTTTCGTAGTGGTGTCGTTTGGAGCAGGAGTCAAGTATCTGTCAGATGACATTGCTCGGAAACTTGCAGGAGCCTTGAGCCGTCTTCCCCAGAGAGTCATCTGGAGGTACTGCCATTCCATTCATTCTTTCATGTGATCAGTGAACCATTTTGCCAACAGATCAAATCACCTGCATATCTCTCCATTATAGCTTATTCTATCACATAGTATCCATTGGCGACTGAACTGTGGTGGTGGGTCACTGATAAGTTAGTTGTGACTACAACTAACTATTTTGTTTTCCATTTCCAAACCTGTAAACCCTCATTCAAAATGATCCGATGGTTTCGTTAGACTTTCCAATGGTTTCTAAATGCAAAACTTGATGAATTCATTTCGGACTAAAGCATTGTACAGATTCACATGTAATTTACTGAGAGTGTTGTCAATAATTATGATGAATCTCAGTATGTTTGTTTTAAATCCCAATCAATCTTCATCCTTTGTTGGCAGTGGAGGGACATTTGATCCTCTGAGATGGTGGTACATAAGTCATGATCATGAAAAAACAATAAAGAAATGTAAAGATTATTCTGATCATCATTTGATATTTTGGTTTGTTGTATTGTAATAGTTTAAAACCTTCTCTCTAACAAAAATACACATTCAATACAATACCTAGCGGGCACATTGATACCAATTTGACGTCAAATACCAGTCAAAACTGGATCAAGATGCTGTAACATCATATTAAATTCAGTTTGGCTTGGCAGTTTCTTCCAGTGGTAATTAGGTGAAAATAGGAAGTTAATCCCACACTGAAATTGGTTTAATGTATATGTAGGCCAATATGTTTGATGTTCAGTTTACATCAAATCAATGTCATGTCAAGTTTTCGACGTCAGTTTGATTTACATATTCGACCTGTTTTTTGACGTCAATTTTGATGTCAATTTCATGTCTTTTCAACATCAATTGCCCACTGGAGGCTCAGAGACAAATACTTTAATAAAATGGTTTACAAATGGCTTTTGAAACCCCCACCTTAATTTAATGTATAATTCTATAGGGGTCAGTCACCTAAAAATGTCATTATTTACTTTGCACTTGTGTCAGAAAACTGTTGGACTTTATTTCTGTGGAACACAAAGACAGAAATTATAAAGAATTGCACTGGTTAATTTTTCCATACAGTTACAACGACTGGGAACTTACAAAAAATGGTGCATACTCATGCATACAGTACAACTTGTGTGCTATATTGCAAGTCATCTAAAGCCATATTATAGCTTTGTGTGAGGAATAGTCGAAAATTGAACTTTACTACACGTATAGAACCACTTTAATATTAATAATGCTAATTTTGCAATCAATAAAGCTGGAAAGCCTCAGTCACCATAAGGGATTCATTGCATGGAAAAGAGCAAGCACAAATTTCCTACCATGGAAGAAATAAAGTAAAGCATGTTTGGAACCGCACGAGGGTTACTAAATGGCAATTTTTTCATTTTTAAGGAGATGATTTATTTGCTTTAAATACTGTATTAATATTGAAATGTCTTTATATAAAGCAGAATTTATAAAATAATGTAGGTTTTGAAAGGTAATGCTCTTATGAGTTAGCCCAGCTCAAAAATATATCACATGTGCATGTAAACTTTCCCATTGGATTAATTTTGTTTCTCTATGCTTACATTTAAACGTTCTTTCCTCTTTAGCTTTTCCTAAGTGAACTTGCATGCTTGTAAACAGCAGCACCTTTTGTTGTCATATGCACTCATATTGTCATGACTCCCGTAGTCATGCCATATAATCTCAGTTGCTTTCTTGTGTTCATGCAAATGTGCCAAGGCAAGTCTTTACTAATGAGGACACTGCTGGGAGCGGAAATGCCCAGGGAACACAAACACATTCTGTGCATATACTGTACAGATAGATGGACACACTTCTGTGAGCCTCAACAATATACCACTCTTGTTACGTATTCAGACATGAAGTCATGAACATATGGTCTCAACTCTTTCTCTCTCACACTGTGCATAGATTATAGTAATGGTAATTCGAGTCACTGACTGCTGCCGGGTTTCTTAGTAACTGTAGAATGTTTGTCATTAGGTTTGGCACCCACTGGCCTTTAGGTTGTGTGTGTTTGCTTACAAGTGACAGATCTTGACTAAATCTCAAGCCAGACTTCACGACGAGGGCTTCATTTAATCTCCACTGAAGAACTCTTGTTGTATTGTTAGTTTAATTAGTTATTTAGCAGATGTGTGAGTATTTATTTCTTAAAGCCAACATGAAATAACATGCTCAAGTAACATTTCTTATAATTAGCATTCTTTTCAAATCAATCCTACCGACCCCATACTTTTGAGTGTTCCTGGTGTTTTTGTACTCAGTTTGTCAGTGCATGCTTTAAAGAAAAATAGTTTGTCCTCGTAATGTGAAAATAATTCCCTTTTTCTGCTGATGTCAGTTAGGCCATGTGGTTAGCAAAAATACTAACCAATAGCATTATACAATAGCTATTTAGGTTTTAGGGTACCGTTGTAGGTAAAGCAGCCTTTCAATTATGTTGCTAATAGTTACCACAATAATTTACTTCAACATGCAAGTCCCATCCTACATTATTTTTGCTCTTTGAATATAGTTTCATTTGGAAATCCATCACTTTACATAATCAAATAGGTTGCGAATACAGTTTCATGTTGCCTTCAATGCTCTCAAAAGTACAATGGTTGTATCTCTTGTTGTATTCATCAAACTTAATGTTTATATGTAGTATAACTACCATGTTTATATGTAATATATGTCATGCATTACTGCATAAACATTTAAAAAAATCTTCTTTGGAGACTTTATAAGCTTTATAAGGTAGAAGGAAACCATCTGGTTTTCTATTGCTGGCTGATTGTCTTTCTTTTTTTTTTCTTTATATTTGCCTTCTAAATGTAAGTAGGTTTTAGGGTACCGTTGTAGGTAAAGCAGCCTTTCAATTATGTTGCTAATAGTTACCACAATAATTTACTTCAACATGCAAGTCCCATCCTACATTATTTTTGCTCTTTGAATATAGTTTCATTTGGAAATCCATCACTTTACATAATCAAATAGGTTGCGAATACAGTTTCATGTTGCCTTCAATGCTCTCAAAAGTACAATGGTTGTATCTCTTGTTCTATTCATCAAACTTAATGTTTATATGTAGTATAACTACCATGTTTATATGTAAGATATGTCATGCATTACTGCATAAACATTTAAAAAAATCTTCTTTGGAGACTTTATAAGCTTTATAAGGTAGAAGGAAACCATCTGGTTTTCTATTGCTGGCTGATTGTCTTTCTTTTTTTTTTCTTTATATTTGCCTTCTAAATGTAAGTTTTTTTTTTTGTATTAATCTGATATGCATGCAAAATATATGGTCTCTGTCTCTCTCATACTCTCTCTAATGTGCTTTTCCTTTCCCAAAAATACCTCACTCCCCTGATCTCACTCATATCTATGATGCTTTGAATAACTAACCAATTCTTCGTTCTTATCAACTGATGGTTGTCGCATCCACTATAGCCCTAGATGAGCTAAAAGCTTTTTAATATTTTTAAAGAGCTACCTGCATCTTACTGAGTTCAATTTCTCTGCAGGTTCTCTGGAGTTCCTCCTTCCAATCTTGGCAACAATACTAAACTAGTGGAGTGGATGCCACAGAATGACCTGTTGGGTACGTATCATCCTATCTCTCACTAAATAGGACATTTCTGAATTCAAAGAAATGCTTATGAAGTTTGAAAAAAAAAAAAAAAATTCCAGTAAAAATGTCAAAACACTCTCCATACATTATTATTCAAAAGTGAGAATCCTGAAAAAACTGCATCATGGTTTTCACAAAAACGTAAATAATATTAATAATAAATATAAAATGATTAATTAAGAAATGTTTTTGAGCACCAAATCAGCGTATTAGAATGTTTTCTGAAGTAAATACTAACTTGTTGTAAGGTTTTTTTATGTATTTTTACTGTAAGACATGCTTTTTTGTGTGTGCATTATGTGTGAAGGAGAGAGAACTCATCCTCCTCACTGCTTTTTTCTGTATCTCGAGCACCAAATCAGCGTATTAGAATGTTTTCTGAAGTAAATACTAACTTGTTGTAAGGTTTTTTATGTATTTTTACTGTAAGACATGCTTTTTTGTGTGTGCATTATGTGTGAAGGAGAGAGAACTCATCCTCCTCACTGCTTTTTTTTGGATAATGTCTCTGTTGTATTAGAAGACACAAAGCCTATGCATGCATTTGCTTGTATGAATGAGTTTCTCTTTCATTGTGCACCATGGGCTTGAGGTCACAGAGGGCCTTTCTGTCTCCATCATTATTTCTTTTTTCTCTTTCTCTCACTGTCTTTCTGCTGTCTGCCACACTTCCTGTTCTCTGATGACCTAGTCGATGCATCCTGTGCTTTGAGTTTGGATTGCTCTGGATTGCCAACCAGAGATAACGACAAGAAAAAAAGTCTGATACACAAAGTCGGTAGACAGAATGGACCCAAGGCATTTCTTCTCTAAGGACCCTCAGCTATTCAACACAAACACTTACTTGTCTAAAGATCAGCTGGACTGAACTTCAAGATCAATGACCCATGGTCAACACTGTCACAATAAACAACAGTTTAAATTCCATTTTTAATCAGAGCCTGAAATGCACTTACACACACTGTATGCAGCTTTATGCATTAAATGAAACCGTCCTGCCTCATGTTAGTACCAGTGAGGGAGTGATACTGTACACACCCCACCCCATCCGTGAGAAACCTCGGATACATTTACAAAATCGTATGCAAATGTCCCTTTGATTTTCCTATGTGTCTTTAAATGTATTTTTAAAGAGATATAAGGGTACAATATAAGCTAATGTACAACTGGTAACTCTGAGAGGTCAATAAAACTCTTTGTTCATTGTGGCTCATTCAGAGGAAGAAGTGTTAGCATGTATAGGGTATATATGAGCGGAGTGGAGTGGGAGCAGAGCAAGGAGTGGAGCGGTGTGATTTTTGACTGGAGCAAGGAGTGGATTTTTTGAAAGTCGAAGCATCTGGGTTTTCACTCGCTCCGAGAGAGCTCCTCTACCGCTCCATCACGAGCATAATTAATGCCAACAGCCCATAATATAACTGCATTTTATCAGGAATTCACGCATTAAACATCATTATCTAGCTTGACAGATGAAGGTGAATGTTATAATGAAGGCGATGGACGAGTGTGGGAAATTAAATCTCAAGCATGTTTGTTTGTAGCATGTGGATACTCAATATTAATTGGGTGAATTCACATTTTAAACAGTTTATTGTACAGGTGCACACAACACACAAGCTCGCACAGATCGCGCGCACATAAAAATATTCAGGAGTGCCAAAAATTGTCAACGCTGTCCTGTGAATTAGCAGCTTAAAAACGGAAAAGTTACTGCATATTCTTTCTGTTTCTGAAGTAACTACAACCCTCAGCTTTGCCATAGCTGAGAGACGCTGCATAGGCAACTGAATTAAACAGAATCATTTAATGTTAAACTATTTTTCTAGTATGGTGTATGAATTTTTCGTTTAATATAATTTCTGAACAGAACTTTGTGATATTTCAAAAAAATACTGAAATACTTTAGCCACAAATTTTGTCATGGAGCGAAGGCGTTTCTGATCAGTTGAGCGAGGAGTGGGAAATGCTGAACCCGGAGTGGAGCTGGAGCTGGAGCGGAGTGATTATTGAATGCTTGGAGTGAAGAGGAGAAATTGTTGTCACTCCACTCCGTTCACATTAGGGAGGGATGAGTGGAAAGGCCAGGAGTGGCTCGTGTTCACACAGAAGCAACTGAATAAAGAACTGCTTACTATTAGATCGATCTTGTTAACCTTTATTTTAATAGAATTATGGCACTATTTGTGAGGCACTTATCACTATTGTCTGAATATAAAATCCCCAATATTAATCTTTGGTGTGTAACTCATCTCACTGTTTATGCCATACAAGAGGTGTGCCTTTACTTTTCTAAGCATTCAAACTGGCGGATGATAAACTGAAAGAGGGGCCCAAGTCATATCTACACTCTTAAAAATAAAGGGGCTTCACGATGCCATAGAAGAACCTTTTTGTCTAAAAGGTTCCATAAAGAACCTTTAACATCTGAAGAACCTTTCTGTTTCACAAAAGCTTCTTTTTGGCGAAAGAAGGTTCTTCAGATTATAAAAACGCAAGAAAGAGATGTTTTTTTAAAGAACCTTTGGCTGAATGGTTCTCTGTGGAACCAAAAATGGTTCTTCTATGGCATCGCTTGAAGAACCTTTTGAAACACCTTTATTTTTAAGAGTGTAGGTGTGAGAATATTATAGGGGTGGACTCGCTGTTGAATATTACTGTATATTCAGCAATCTGAAAACAAAACAGAAGCATTGTCACCCTGATCCATTTCTGTACATAATTAAGAGTAAAAGCTATATATCACATCTTAGTAAATTAAAAGTCAACATTTGAACCACTTCAAAGTTTTTTTTTATTTGATTTTATATTTTATATATTTGTATTGCTAAATAGTCAAGTAAGTTGAAACCCAATACTTACACTTAAAATTGTAGTCCGACATTTTCTCTCAAAAAATCCTGTCGTCATCAGTGCGCAATGAATCTCAGGATAGTCTGGGCCCCAAAGGATCCATTAGTTGTATCCTTTGTTGTGTGGGAAACCAAGGATGCATTTCAAGGCCACATTTGAAGGAGCCTTCGAATTGGGAAAGCCTTCGTTGCACCTCAATGACGCCATCAGACTTTGAATGTAGCCTTCAAAGGATGCTGACTCTGAATTGGGATGCAGCTTTGGAGTACCTTAGCAACTGTGTAGAAATGCACTGGCAACCACCCAGAGCACCCTAGCAACATACTGTAGTGGCAGGTTTTGCATGGACGAGCCTACTTACATTTTTTTTTTTAAATGTAAAAATCTAATTTTCTGCTATTAAATCTAGTTTAGCGCTATATTTCATAGCGAATATTATAGTTTGTATTAAAGAAACCATAGTTATTAATGTTGTTACTATAGTCTCACTCAAAATATCACATTTAACTCTTTCCCCGCCACTTTTCTGGCTTTCCGCGTCATCACTTGTGTATGGTAGGAGGCGCTGTTGCATGTCTTCTGATAGTACTGAGAGTACTGAATCTCTGAAACAAAACACAGGTGGAGAAGAAGCAGATACAAGCGATCGCGTATGTAAACATATGCATATAATGTGATCATCAAACAGCATATAAATCAAAACTGCCTAACGTTACCAAATGAAATGTTGATACAGGAAGTGGTTTAGGACTGTGAAGCTTTGGCTATGTTTATGGACGCGAATGACTCCATCTATGTTTTGATCATTGTTCTGAATCCAATCCAGAAGCAGTGGTGGACCATAACGTAGCTTTACTTCGTTACTGTACTTAAGTACATATATGTACTTTACTGGAGTCGTTTTATTTTGAGTAACTTTTACTTCACTACATTCCAAAGCATAAGATCGTACTTTTTACTTCACTACATTTCATAAAACATATCATTATAATATATCACGTGCTCTGACACGCAGAAGCGGTGTCTGATTCAAGAACGAACTGATTCTTTTCAAACAGAGTACAATCTAATTTCCAACCCCTTATGTTGAAAACTAAAAAGAAATTTGATATGTGGCTCATGAGGGATTTATCACTCAAAGGTAGGATTCTTTTGTCCAAAAACGAGGGATTATCTCGTTTAATCTATCCTGCTAAAGTATTAGATGTACCAAAATCTTTTCTTAAAAAAAAATGATTCAACTCTATTTAATTTCATATGGAAAAACAAGCCTCACTATTTAAATAAAAATAATTTATGTAATTCGTATAATCAAGGAGGTTTGAATGTGCTTGATTTTGTTACGTCTAATACAATCTTCAAGTTGAACTGGATAAAACATTATATTAAACATAAAGATGAGATATGGTATGTAATTCCAAATCTTATTTTTGAAAAAGTTGGAGGCATAGAGTTTCTTTTGAAGTGTGATTTTGAGGTCAACAAACTCCCCATTAAGTTATCTAATTTTCATAGACAGGCTCTTTTAAATTGGATTCTTATATACAAACATAATTTCTCTCCCCATAGGCAGATAATTTGGAGTAATAAATATGTTAAATATAAGAACAAATCAATTTTCTATACTAATTGGGTTAAAAATGGTATTCTAATGGTCTCACAGTTGATAAATAATGAAGGATATTTACTTCTATATACTGAATTTTTTGAGAAATTTGGAATTCCAGTACCTCCGCGTGAATATAGTATTGTAACTGATGCAATACCAGCAGGATTTGTGAGGCTTTTAAAGGGATTTAGTGAATCTAAGCAATCAACATTTAAAAAAGAGATCTTATTAAATGGTATTGATATCAAAGATAGAAAATGTAATAATACATTTTTTAGATGTTTGATTCACTGCCCTGCAACACTTCGGGAATAACCATTTTGAGAATCAACTGGAAATTGATTTGGACTTATAATAACAAATTCTGTGTCACAAATAAAGTTAGTGAAGTTTACTTTAAAAGTATCCATATCATTTATCCAACTAACCAGTTTCTCGAGAGATACAGAGCTGATCTCTCTGAATTTTGTGCTTTTTGTGGAATGCATGTAGAGACTGTTTTGCATCTTCTTTTTTTTTTTAATGTATGAATGTTCAATATTTCTGGATTGATGTTGAATATTTATTTACTATGTTGAGTGGATCTAAAATGAATATAAGAAAAAGAGATGTTATATTTTATTTTGATAAAAAATATATATTATTTATTATTTATTTATTTTTCTTTCCCTTTTCTTTTTTTGTTTTTTGTTTTTTTTTCTTCCAGAAAACGTGAACACCATGTTTGTAACCTTTTGTTATGCTTTTGAATGTTAAATGTTCAGCATATACAAAAAAAACTGATTCTTTTCAATGAACCTTTTAAATCGGATCGCAAATCGCACCAAACGATTCATTGACGAATTAGAATGAACCGATTGCAGCTGTTCTCGTGTCGATAACTCACTGATTCGCATGATCCGTTTAGTGCGAGTCTCCAGTGAACTGAATTCACAAGTCAGAACCCGGAGATCTTGTGAGCGCGCGCGCGTCTGATGCTGCTAAAAGTCACTAATGTCGAATTTTAGGATTAATTATTGTAACTGAAAATAATATTTAGGTCAAAACTGTCAGTTTGTGAACTAAATCTGCTGTAAAGGGTGATCTATTTAAGCCCACTGAAATGATTGAACGCAGACACATCAACATCTGTGTCTCTATTTTAGGTTTAAAAAACCCCCCGAAACATTAAAATAACACAGACTAAATAAAATAATTCATGCACGTTCATATTCCCCTCTGACGTAACGTTAACAGTTTTATTAAAATGCTACTATGTGACGTCTGTTTTTATATTGTTTATCAACAGTATACATTTTTATATTGTTTGGATTAACTAGCCAAGTAGACAGATATGAATGTTTATTCATAACTAGGGCTGTCACGATTATGAAATTTGACTGACGATTAATTGTCTAAAAATAGTCACGGTTATTGCAATTAATTGTCTGTTTTAGGGCTTTGGCGATTATGCCGATTATCACGATTAATTGTCTGTTTTTATGGCTTTCATTATATAATTGATTAATTTAAGGGTTCAGTAAATAATCATGATGTTATCTTTTAATCTTTTTGAGTTATTATTTTGCAGTGTAAGATTACATGGAGTATTCCAAATTCTAAGAATCGGCCAATTCCAATCCAACACCAGCTCTATTTGTTTTCTACACCACTACAGAATATCAATATACTGTGTTTCTGGGACTAATGGTCGAATGGTCGCTCTTTTAAACCCTATGTTAAACGCAATCCACTAAATACTCACTTCCTCGTTACAGAGAAAAACTAAATTTGAATAACAATATATAAGCTATGAAATTAAACTAGCTGACTGTATAATTTAGCAGCAAAAACAATATCTTGAAAAATAAATCTTTGGTGCACATTATACAATTTAAACATGTTTATTCTGATAACTATTTGTATTCTTACAAGATACATTCATGAATATAAGATAGAAATCACGAGAAAAAGAAAGGCTTCTAATAATCTTTCCGTTTGTGATAATTCCTTCCTTCTTTAAACTAAAGTATTATAATGGGAATATATCATCTTGGGGAGAGAGTTTTACCGTGCTGACTGTCATAACTGAACGTGACGTGCTGATTTATGGTTGTTGTGCTTTTTAATTAAGAATAACAATGAATCCATCTTTTGTTTTAGTCTTAAAAAATGAAAGGTGTGTATGTAAGCAAAACAGTGACAACAAGATCGCGAATTCGAAAGTGAAATCATCCGAAGCCCGCGGCTTAACACCGCAAAAGAGAAAGAAACTCTCATTCCCGAAATTTAAATCACAAATAATACTACTGATGATAAAGCACGGGTTGAATGTTAACCACTTTCGTTTCCATATAACTATAAACTATGATAAAAGTTCATCATCATGCATTGAATAATCCCATGTTGTAGCGCAAAAAAAAAAATTTGCGACCAAATCATGTGCTCGTGCGACCAGCTGAGAAAGTTACAATAAGGCACAATATGTCTGAAACAACCGCGGTTAGACCTAATAATCGCGATTAGACGGTTATTTAATTATCGCGACAGGCCTAATTCATAACCATACTGAAAATAAGTAAATATTGCTAGCTGATGCTAACACTAATGTCGAATTTTAGGATTAATTATTGTAACTGAAAATAATATTTAGGTCAAAACTGTCAGTTTGTGAACTAAATCTGCTGTAAAGGGTGATCTATTTAAGCCCACTGAAATGATTGAACGCAGACACATCAACATCTGTGTCTCTATTTTAGGTTTAAAAAACCCCCCGAAACATTAAAATAACACAGACTAAATAAAATAATTCATGCACGTTCATATTCCCCTCTGACGTAACGTTAACAGTTTTATTAAAATGCTACTATGTGACGTCTGTTT